CCAGGAAGACTAAAAAGCGTAATTTGAATGCTGAGACGTTAATCTGGAGTCTGCATATGCTATTAAGGCCCTCTGCAGTAGCTTGAAGTTACTAGACACCTCCAACACCATCGTTACCACCATCGCCAACCCCCATCATGGGTAACGTCACTACGTGCTACGGCGTACGAATCGTTACAGCTCCCCGCCAGAGGGGTTGAGACGTCGAGTTTCATCGTGAGGTTTGCTGGACTTGCTGGAGAGATGGGACGCGAAGAAGAGATAAATAAGTGGATGAACAGAAAGAAGCTGGTTAGGAGAAATCGAGGATTACTACGGTTAGAAGGGGAGAAATGGGAAATTATGGGGAGCATAAAGAAATGGGATGTTCAAAAAAGTTGTCACATATGGAAATTGATTGGACCAAATGTACAAGATTCGAATGAGTGAAGAAGAGTATTCGAAAGAGGAAAATAAACGTATAGGCGGAATAACCAACTATTGAGCAACGCAATAGATAAAGTGGCCAAATAAGCGATGAAACATCGGAACGGATGAGAGAGTAACAAGAATAGAGGCGAAAGAAGCGAACTGAAAGCACTCTGAAGCCACAATACAAACCACCCTCGTGAGGAGAGTAGAGAAAGGGGATAGACAAGTGCCGAAAATTTCAAGAACCTTCAACCGCAGTATCGCTTACCCGTGTCTTCTTTTCCTTGAAGCACTACGTTTTACCTCGAGGTTTTTACCTTTCACCGAAATTTATTCGTTAACTCGTTGGTAGAAGCAATGAGAAATTTGCAAACGGATGGGGATGAATCGTTTAAAAAATATCTGGGTATTCCAATAGCAAAACGTTTGAGCTGTAACTCTGAAAAGATGTCTGGAGAAGAAAAATAAAAGACAGTTGAAGAATATGCAGAACAGAAGTAGAAGCTCGACGGTACAGAGACACAATCGCAGTTTCATTTTAACTTCGTGCTGACAGCGTTCGAGTGTTTGAAAACTGAAGTTTTCGATATAATGAGGTAGCTATTGCTTTTGAACATAAAGTAAAAGAAAATAGTGTCGTTGCAAGATATTGCAAAATGATGCAGATGCATCCACACGTGATGTCAACAAAATTGTTAGGTAATTATTTGTAAATCCACCAGTAAATCTTAAACTTCTCTTCCATCATCTTCTGTCCTTTTTTCTTCAGGTCACGACAGATGACTAAAACCACATCACACACACACTTGGAATGTCTAACCAACCAGTCATCAAAGCACATTAAATGAATGTCTACGTTCGCCATTGAAATTTCCACCTAAAGGGATAATTAGATAAAAGCAGGCAACACACAACGGTGGACCAATCTCAAGAACCCAAGATCCACGAGCAAAGCGCGCTAACTAAATAAGGTTTATGGGGCCTGGGTTAAGTTCATGGAGCACGACGTCGAAGCAAGTGGAGAAAGCTCACCCTTCTCTCCCTTGGCGTGTGAAATGGCTTTAGCAGCTATAACAACGACGACGTCAAACATCGTTGCAGCTAATCAGCGTCTCGACGCAGATTCTGAGGGCACGAAGTGCAATCTACGAACGGCGGCAACCCCGAGATTAGAAAAGAAATTTTGAGGCCAGTGCGAATAGAAGGAAACCTATTGATACAACTATGTAGAAAGCAACTTTCTAATCTCTAAATAAATTTGTAAATCTGATCGTGCTCGGTACAGGGCGTTGACCCCGCAAAGCTGTCTCTGTACTCCAGAATTAATTTTATTTACGTCAATGAGGAGACCTATAACTTACATAAAGCGGGGTAAAGAATAAGCACGCGAGATCAAGTGCAAGCGGTTTCCCCGACTCCAGAATGAACCTCGAGGATAAAACAGATCATTGATTTCACTAGAAAGGTACAGTTGACGAGATACAACGAGCGGTTGCAATTAAAGGAGAGAACAGCCGTATCGTAAAATATAAAAGCCGAATAAATCAATAAATCTTGAGGAGGTAAAACAGGTTGAAGTAAAAACAATGAGATGGCAAGAATTTCCGATTGTAAGAAAGTCGAGGTAAAAGGAGACAAATACATGAAGGTGGAAGAGCAACTTTAGGATTCCCCGTAAATCGTGAGAAATGAAGAACGTAGAAAAAGATGGTTGAACAAAGGGATATTGATAGTCGAAGATGATGAACTTGAAGAGTTATTGATGGTGGAAACTTGAAAGGAAGTAATCGTACAATGATACCAGTCTCGGTTTCCCAATACCTAACACGTCATACCACAATGTGCCTGTGGTGAAATTATCAATTTATTATTCTTGTAAAGCTTCTTCAACGGTCCAAGTACTTGCAGCCTGTAATACATAAACTCGACCAGTTGCCTCTCGGGGCATCAGAGGTGACAAACGCGAAATCAAAATCATAGTCAGAAATCAGGGAAGAAACGCGAAGAAGTAGGAAGCAAATGGGAAAGCATAGACGAGAGTAGAGAGCCGGTAAAGCAGAGAGGGAGAAGGCGATATTGGCGAGCAGGGAGATAAAGAGGAGAGGAAAAGGAAGGCAGCGTAACCGAGAATCAAGGGGTGGGAGAGACAGGGTACGGGGCGAGAGTGGTCAGGTGACGTCACGTCGGGTCGATACTCACCCACACTCCCTTTCCCGGCATTGTCGTAAACGAGGGGGCGCAGGCGCCGCCTCGTACGCTCCTGAGAGTGCTCCTTCCCGCCATATTAGCCAGCATGGGGTAGGCGAGGATGTTCGACAGGGGTGGCTCGGGCTGCTTCTTCTCCCGTGAGGTAATACGCGTTACCGTGTCGCGTGGCCGGTCGACGGTTCGTGTACGCGCGGTGGTGTCCACCAGTGAGAAATTAGTTGGTCAGGCTCGAAGGGTGAGCCGTCAGGAAGGGCGGTAGGGTGCACCGACGGTGCTGGCCCGGTTCTCTCTGTTCACGTTCGCCGAATCCTAGAAGAGCAGTGTTGGGAACGCATGGATACGTGGACTGGTACGAAACGCGTGAGCACCGGGGTCAAATCGGACGGTGAGACCGACGGACGCAAAGAGGAACGCTCCTGGAAACCGGGAACGGCCTTGGAGAGGGGCGCAGAGGGCTGCACGAAGGGTGAGGAGCTCGCCGCTGGGTTTCCCGAGGATACCTCCAACAAAAGGGGTTGCAAATCGGCCGCGCAAGTGTGGATGTCTTTATTGTCCCTGTGCGACCGGATGTGCGGCTCCGCCGCGTGGCTCGTCCTCTTCACATGCCTCCACGGGGTGCGTTTCCTACTCTCGTGCTCTCCCTGATACCGAGTATATTGTGTACCACTTTGTACCTGACCTCACGTGGCGGAGTTCCATTATGTCGATTCTAATCACTTCATTTAGTGATCATGAATTCCAGGAATCTCTGCAGAGTACACGGTAACGTGGCTGCAAGAACAACGCGCCCTCGAAACGTGTATTTGTGCTAGTTATGATTTTCAGATTAGGTATCATTCAAACTTAGAGTACTAAGTGTCTGCGAGGACAGCAGGATGAATGAAATAAGCTGTTTGTAACTATACACCTGTGCACGCACTGGAGAAGCTAGCTTCGAACATGTATTTATGCTAATTATGAATTTCAGAGCAGATTATAGTATTAGAACTTGAGACATTAGAATACAGTAGACAACGAGGACACAGAGATGAAATAAACTGTTCTAAATATATGCACGTTATAGATTGATGGATGCAATTAGAACCTAAGGACATGAAAATACTAAGAAGCGAAGTTCAAGGTTTAAAGACTTATGCATCAACAAGTATCACTGACTATACTAATTCTCAGGTATTGTTATTCTTAACGAGTTCTATAAGTCAGTTTATAATAACAGTTCCTAAATATTTAGTATACGTACCCAGAAGGATACTTATCAGGCTCAAGATGCAGAAAATTGGAGCAATTTGATAGATATCATTGTTAAGTGTCTATGGAAGAAGAATGACGTTCATTCAGGAGAAGACGTAGTTATTAATATGAAGTGTTTCTTGTTAAACTGAAGAGTGTTCAAGCATCAACGAGCAGCTTGCTGCTCGTTGCTTCATTTTCCGCGAAGAATCTTAGCTAAATATGTAAATGCGTTCCCAATTTTAATTCGTTTCAGCCCTGAATTGTTAGATAACTGTGCAAAATAATTGGTAAAAGTGGATCCTCTTGTTACTTCCAGTTATAAATATCTGGAAGGTTGATTACAATCAGTATTCTGAGTCTTTTATAGTAATTCTACCAAAATGGAATAATTGTTCTCTATTCTTGTAACATACTAAATTTTTTTTAAAAAGCAAACTAAAGACAGTCTAATCTATTCACCGATTGACAGTTGAAAGCTGTTAATTAAACGAATATCGTCATATAAATCCTTTGCGAGGACATGAATTAGTAATGGCATTCAATTTCAGATTCGCAAAGTAGGAAGATAGGAAAAGAAAATTGCACCATGGAACTCTGCTTGTTTGCACGGCTGATTATCTGACTTTCCGTATTAACCGGACAAAATAGTCTCTATTTTTGGCGGATCCTGTAAGCTCGTGCATCTCTGATTGTTCACGGTGGAAAACCGACTGGAAAGTGTTTGCAATTTTTACGAGCCTCTAATCGGCCTGCTGATTGAATATCGCGTGCAACCACCGCGTTTACCCTGATTTGTTGAAGTTTTAAATCTCGACTTGATTTTTTATTAAACTTTTCATGCTTGCGGATTATAAAATTGTACTTGAACAAAAATACACGCTATAGATTATGCAATCTGTGCCGGTATGCAAATGCACCGTTTAAAAATGTATAATTATTGCGAAGCATTGAATAACTGCTGTGCACGAGGAATATTGACCTTGGTATGCAAGATTAATCGCACAGGTTGAAAGCAATTACCTAATCAGTTGTTAAAAATACTATGGAAATATTCCTTCTTGTCTGAGAGATTTTCAGGATGTCAATTAATAGTTACGAGGTTGTTAAAGACATGAGAAGAACACTAATTACTGTTAATTCTGTTGCAGGAGGGCCGGGGGGAAGTGACAGACATCAGCGCAAGTCCTGGAAGGCAAGCACCTGCCAACCAGTTGCGCCCCAAGGAGCCACCCCCCATGGTTATTCAGGGAGACTTCAGGAAGGTACTAATTCTGAACAACTATAGGAAATAAAAGTCTGTGGTATCGTACAAGCTGATCAGATCATATAAAAGGCAATTGATAAACCTAGTTACCGAAGCAAAGAGGAAGGAGAAGAGAATAGAAAAATCAGATTATAAGAATACCATTCCATGAAATTGTTTTAGCGAGACTAGTCTGAGATGCTTGCTGAAACAGTTTCATGCGATCTCAGATTTTGAAAGCTAACGCTCAGGATACACTCGTTGAAGTAAAAGGACCTATCGTTGCAGGTGAGCGGGATCAGTACGGAAATCTTCAAGCAAATCGAGACCGTCGAAAACGATCATGACGCCTCGACAGCAGCGGCCCTCGAAGCTGTCGAGCGAAGGGGTGAGATGGTCGTCAGGGTCATCGAGCCACGACAAATGGGCAGACAGGCATCCGAGGCGGCGAAGAAGTTCATTGCTATGCAGGTGTGTATCAAAGAAATCAACTGTTCACTTATACAAGAGAGTAAAAATACGAGTAACGTCATAACACTTTTTGCAGGATCCGAAACACCCCATCCACTTTGTCGAAATAATCAAAAGGCCAGGGCAGACGCTGGGACTCTACATCCGAGAGGGTAACGGGGTGGACAGAAACGATGGCGTCTTTATTTCGAGGATAGCCCTGGAGACTGCTGTGTACAACAGCGGCTGCTTGAAGGTAAGCATTCTTTCTGCACCTACTTAATTGCCACTGTGCTGGGAACAAGGCCAATTTAGAATGTATTGGAGTTATTCTTCTGGGACACGGTTCATCCACTGAGTTTTCTATCAAAGTGTAATTCGTTTTTCTTGAAGTATACTTGGTAGAAGAAGCAAGTTATATTTTTATAATGAAGTGGGAGTTATGAGATTAGAGAAAATGATGGGTATTTAATAATCCTTAATTGCTGGTTAATCCTTACTTGTTCTATTAGGTTGGGGATGAGATCCTCGCGGTGAATCTGGTGGATGTGACGCACATGAGCTTGGACGACGTGGTGATTATCATGTCGATACCTAGGAGACTTGTCCTGGCGACGAGGCACGGCCAGCATCAACCAGTCTCTCACAGTCGTCAGACCGAGCACAAAGCACCACCGGTTGTAGTGATCAAAAGAGAGCTAAACGAGGATGAGAGTGATCATGCAACGAGTAATCATGTCAGGTATATGTGCCTCATAAAAGAACTAGTCCAGTCTACGTGTCTTTTACAAAAGAACTTATCTAAATAGTTTCAACTTGAAATCTAAAAATTTTCAAATCAATATCAAGAGAAAGTTGCGATAGAAATAGTTTGATTAGAGTTTAATTGTTTCCACGCTCCACTTGGTCTATTTTAACTTCAATTTGACTTCACTGTCAGTTTAAATTAAATTAAGATTAAATTGAATAAATGAAATTGAAACTGCTTGTCTTAATTTCAGGGATGGTAACCGTAGACGCGGTGACGGTCGTGAAATGCTGCCTTCCCGGTCGAGACTGGGTCTGACGGGTCTGGGTTCCAGTCAGGATCTAGGATCCAGTAATGGTGATCTGTATTACAATTCCAGACCGGAAGGACACTGGTCCTATCAGCCACCACCACCGCCAGTAATCACGCACCAGCCAAAACCATCCACGACGCAGCATTTCCAGCCATACGAGCGTGGATACCCAAAAACTTTGGAAAGCTTGGCTGAAAAAGTAAGTGCCGAAGGATTTTCTAGTTCTTGTCCAGGATCCTGACGCAGGTTGAGGTTTGATTTTAAGGACGGGAAGTATTTTAAAATTATGTTGAGTTAAGAGATGCAAACAGGTTAATTGAAAATTATAAAAACTTTAGATATTAAAATGTATGAAGAGCACTTGAAGAAATTCCATGAAGAGGAAAGGAGTAATTGTGATATCAATGTCTGAAGGAAGAAATAGATTTAACAATAGAAGCGATATTTTTAGTAATAAATCTCCACCTGCAGTCAGGTGTAGGCCACACATAGATGTTCTAGACGATGTGGATCGAGCACCCTTTCATATACCTGTCTGCACCAAGTTGACACTTGTTTGCCCTTCTCTGTCTTCGATTGCAATAGCGATTTGAATAAGAAAGTGGTGAATTCGTGGCAATCTCTCGAGACACTCCTGACAGATATCAGAATATCGTGCACCGTCTTCAAGTCCTTTGGTCAAAAACACGAATAACGCGAATATGTTAATTTGTTCATATAATGGTTCTCGCATAATTAGTCCAAATGACTTGAATCGTAGACGGTTCACAAACTCGTTCGTGTTTCGACCACGTGTTTCACATGACTAATCGGTTCTATGAATGAATGCTACGTTGATATTAACCAGGATTTCACAAAGGTAAAGAAACCACCAACTCTTTCTTGATATCTAGACTTGTGTATGCTGCAATTTCCTGCACTGTACCCTATCTGGACAATGGATAAATATTTGTACAGTTTCTAGAATAGTGTCATGCAAATCAAGTGCCCACAGAACTTGGACATTAGCGTGCACGCCTAAAAAGACCTAGAGGCACAATTGCTTATCACTGTTCTAGAACTCTGAGAAAATAATCATAAGACTTAAAAGGAAGAGAATGCTAACAAAGAGAACAAATATTTGTTCCAGTGTCCACATGGTATATTGTACTCTGTCGCTATTTATAACGTAATCCCACCCTTTTGTTGCCTCATAAGCTTTATTATGCGCTCTTTCTATTTCTTTCTGTCTGAGTATTGTCTCTTCTTGCGATGATCCGTGATCGTCAGACCACAAGATAGATGGATCAGTAAAGTTCTGAGGATTAATGTACAAGATCCATCGATCGTGCTGGCATAATGTTACAATTAGAATTTCCTTTAATCACGATCAATTTAATCCCACCAAAAGGAAATAATATTAGTAATGACAAGTTGGATTGATCGTGAGACGAAGGAAATATTTCACTTGGTTTTGAAAGTAACAAAATAAGCCTGATGGTGTGTTTGAATTTAGGTACACTCCTTCTACACGGGGCCAGTAATGCCCTCAAACGGTGGTCGTCGAATGTCTACGGGTGCAGGAATGCAGTCAGTTGGCAGTAGATTGTCTAGTCAAACTCAGTCGTCGCATTACGGTTACGGTCAACATACCAGCAGTGGAAGAATCATGCCCAGAAGTGGCTCGGATCAACATTTGCCCCGAGTCGATTACACCAGCATCACCACACCAGCTCGACACACTCTTCTCAGATCCAGCTTGAAATCAGGTTTATTGACACGCCAGAGTAGACCAAGGTTCTCGTGAAATGTTATTATTTACGACTCTCTGTTGTACAATAGGAACGTCAGCATTGAGATACAATACAAGATACGGCACCCAAGGGGACAGTACAACATCGACTCAAAGGCAAGGTCAGTTTGGCACCTTAACAAGGAGGCATCGACCGTCGTTGGACTATGCATCTGACACCGAGGCAACGTGTTCCAGTTCACCAAAGTCGGCGTACTATTACTATAGGAACAATATGAATAATCCATCGCAGAGTAGCGCAGTCTCGCATCTTGCCACCTTGTCTAGATCGCAAATTGGTCAGAGTTCCTCCGGTCAGTTTACAAAAACCGTTCTTAGCCAACACAATATGTAATAGATTTAGTAAATTTGTATCTATTGTAGGTCTGAGATCGAACTCGTTGCCTCGCAATACTACTAGAACGTTGCCTCAGCAACCTGGTCTTAGATCTGGGCTTAGCACAGTAGCATCTGGACTGATAGATCAAGAGGACAGCGATGGAGCACTGTCAGCGCCTGAATTGCCTTCCATCAGACGTGACAGAGGTAAGGATGATCAGTTGAACATGGATAAAAATATTGAAATAAACTGAGAAAAATGTTTGAATTTTGATGATAGGAAGAATACCGTCATCACCTAGTGTGTTCACGTCGGATGAATACCGAGCATGGCTGAGTAGAACACCGAGCACCAGTGCATTGTACGAACAAATTAGAGCAACCACGACTAGACCACCGCGTTACACTTACAGCGCAGAAAATATTCACGCAGCTGTGAATCAAGTGAGCAAACATTTCTTGCTCTTTTTTGCTATTCTCGGTAGCAGGGATATATGATTTACTTTTACAGGGGGAATATGGAAGTTACGGTGCATATAGACCGCTCTCCAGCACGCTTGACCGTCTCTCGACAAGGTCAGCCTCAGCGCAACAAGTAAATCTAGCCAATCTGAGAGCATCGACGGCGATCAGTTCAACGTGTCATCGTGGAACGACGAATCCAAGACCGGCCTCGGTTGCATCGAGTGCTCGAACATCCCTGACAAGTCAGAAACCATCGTTGAGTAGCTCGGCCACCCAAAGGGCGACGTCGGTTAGGAGAATCAGAAACTTGCTAGACCTAGAGTCCACGAGAAGCATACCCACCCCCACGCCTACCAGAACTCAGGATCAAAGACTGCTAGATATTAATCCTGCAGGTAGATAAAATTGACGTTTTGCAATTATTAAACCCGTTAAAGTTTCTAATAAGATAATTTCAATTTTGATAGAGTTCCTCAAATATAAAATAGAAAAGCCGCCAACTGTGGGAACTCCGAGCTCGACCAGTTCTCTCTTGAGTTCGCTCGGAGAAACCAGTAGCGGAGACCTGGCAGGTGGGATCAGTGGACTGCTTTGGGTCCATCTTTTAGCTGGGCGCGGTCTTCGTTCGACGACGTCTTCGTCTGCAGCTACCACACCCTCGACGCCATCAGGTCAGCCTAATTTAGGTACGTTCGGGAGCCTGCACCTCCTGTAGTCTGCTACTCCTTTGCACACTTACAACCTACTGACTCAACCTCTGTACAAACGTTCAACACACAACTCAATTTTGTTTAACCCACAATAGATTCCTTTTCCCTAAACTCTCGAATGTTACAAGATACTCAATGATACAATTAAACACCACATATGAGTTAGGACCAACACCAAAAAGTTGTCTTGTTCAAACACTATACAGCTAGCTGTGGCTTGAGAGACTTGTATTGCGTACTGGAGTGCGACAGGGTACACAAAGCAAGAACAGTGGTACGAACTGGTGATCTGATGTTTGACTGGGACGAGACCTTCGAGCTGGACCTCGTTGGCAACCGGCAGTTGGATCTGCTCGTCTACTCTTGGGATCCTCAGTATAGGCATAAGCTATGTTACAAAGGCTCGGTGCACTTGGCGTCCCTCCTCAAGGAGTCACCTCTTCAACAACTGGCTGTCAAGGTCGAGCCACGTGGCACAATTTATTTAAGACTGCGATATATTGATGCTCAGCAAACGTTCCGAAGGAGAGGACTGCCAGTCATATCTTTGGCCACCAGAGTTGCACCTCTTTTCGGAGTTGACCTTGATACAGTGGTAAGTTGTAATTTGAAGCTTGTTAAGTGCTGATGTCTCTACATAATAATTGGCTAAACGTTATGTGGACTTTAGGTGAGCCGAGAGAGTAAAACTGGTGGAGTTCCTGGAGGTGTGTCCACTGCCCTGGCGATGGGTGTTCCAAACGTACCTATAATCGTTTGGCGCTGCGTCGAAGAGGTTGAGAGAAGAGGCCTCGATATCATTGGTTAGTCTTCCGGTGCAGAATAATGGATTAGCATTATTCCTATGATACTTATAGATATTGTATGATTGACAGGTTTGTACAGGCTTTGTGGATCAGCAACAAAGAAGAGGATACTTAGGGAAGCCTTTGAAAGGAATGCTCGTTCGGTGAATCTGTCACCTGATAATGTTCCAGACATCAACGTTATTACTGGTTAATTTCTTTATAGTAATACGATGCAGGAAAATGACTAAGAATGTTAAGTTATGATTATCTTTTTCAGGCGTGCTGAAGGATTACTTGCGAGAACTTCCAGAACCACTTTTCACAAAGTGCCTCTACCAAATGATGGTCGATGCACTAGCCGTCTGTTTGCCAGACGACCCACAAGGCAGCGCCAAACTTATGTTCAGTATACTCGACTGTTTACCAAAAGTGAACAGGGTTCGTATTTAACTAATCAGTTATAAACCTATAAAATATTGTGTTCTATATTGTTCGTCTTTCAACAGTGCACACTAATTTATTTGTTGGACCACCTGGCGATGGTGGTGTCACAATGCAACAAAATGTCACCAGCAAGTCTTGCGGTCTGTTTCGGACCAGTTTTGATGTTACATTCTGAGGAGAATGGACCACCGTTAGACTTCCAACAGCCAATCGCTGTACTCAAGTATCTCCTCGAAATATGGCCTGTTAAGTCAGGTAATGTCGTCATTCCTAACAATTTATTTTATTCGAAATACGATAAACATGTTATAGATTCGAGACATAGTCATTAGCAAGTGTCTAAGCTAATGAAGAATTGTCCTGATCAAACAATCGAACCAAAAGAATAAGAGCCGAATAATCAGTCGCTCATTTCACAGACAGTTCGGAAGATTTCTTCAATCGCTTCAGCGCTTCCTCGAGTTACGCAAGCAGCAGAGCACAACAGCAGTCAACAGCAACTGCAGCAGCAGCAGCAGCAGCAGCAACAGCAACAGCAACAGGTGCAGCATCAGCTGCAGGGAACATTGGGACGAACAGGGCTGCCCTGGCAGCAGCAACACTCACTTCATCAACAGCCCCCAACTTCAACAACCGCAGTCCTCGCGCCCTCCACTCGGCCTCCACCACCGGTCAAGCCCCGGCAGGTTAGCGTTCTTTTACGATTCTTGCTTTATCTCGACGACGTACGTTCCAATCTTTCACCTCCTTCTTCTTCCCTGCTCTGTAAACGTTCCACTCACGACAGTGATGGTTTAAGCAAGGAAAGAACATACATCTCGAGTGTAAAACACTTTAAGAACTCCTTAAGCAACAATTTCACAATATATTTATACAGAGGGTGGACAAGAGGAAGGTTAAAGAAACGTTTAAAGAAAGGAAACTTTTCTGGTTTTCAGAAAACTTCGTGTCACAATTGTGTTACAAGATTAAGCAAATGAAAGACCAGAAAAGTTGCATAAAACGCTTCAAAAAATTCGACAACAGTCTCGTTTCCCTCTCCGCTTTTCTATCCGTGTCTCATATGCATTATATCTGAAGCGTGTTGTGAACAGCATGACAGGCAAAGTAAAAAGACTCTGTTCATTCCCTTTGTTTCGCTTCGCAGAACAAATCCTGTCGCGCTCTCATGATCTCTAATCAGTCAGTGAAACGTCCATTCATTTACTCATTCATTCATGCATACGTTCATTCATTTACTCGGCTCATATCGGTTCCAGGTTGACGTCTCTCTCGACGATCTTTTTCATGTTAACCATCAATTGTTGCAGACTGTTCGCTACGCACGTAACTTTACTGCAAGTTTCTAAACGATCAGCGAATTTCATTGGAAAAGTACTTTTACTGAGAAAGAAATGCAAAATAATTTGCCCACTTTGGCAAAGCAAAAGAAGCTTGTTCTGCTTGGCAAACAATTTGCAAAGAAACGATGTCGAGTGTTGTATCCGTGTAAATATTACCACGCCATAAACGCCTCCGTGCATGTCTCGATGTCAGTTCTTGTACATTATTTGGGCGCAACGATCAAGAACCGGTTGCTTTATGATTTTCGTTTCTCTTTACCACCAGTCTCTCTCTTTCTCTCTCGACGTCTTTCTTATTATATAGTGACGATTTACGTTGTCTTCTTTATCTTTTTTCGTTTGGGCACGTATTCTTCAGAGCAAGCGCAAATTGCCGGCTCTACCAAACCGCTGACAGCACAGAGACGCCGCTTCTTGCACAGGTATTATCGTTATTATCGTTTTCATTCGCGTTACATCAGCCTTTAGTTATCATTATCATATTGCATGGCCCGAATATCGAATATCAGAGAACTAATGTATACACTCATTCATCTGTCACCTTTCATTCACGTTATTTGCACAGTGTCAGTCTGTGATTGCGTGACAGTGTACACAGGACCATTGAAGAAGCTGCAGTGACTAACCTAACAATTTTTCTTCGAATATTCTATGTTTGCAAATGAATTGTTTTCTTGTGCACCGTAAAACTTATAATTGTTTGCACAGAATAAGAAGTTACGTAGACTTAACGCCATATGTTAAGAAAAGAAAAAGCAAGCTACTAATTAGAAAACAAGGTACTAGTGTCAGGTTAAGTGTTCTTATTGATCAAGTTGTTTATCACATGGTTTCGTGCACAGAGTTTAGAGTACTCTAATGATGTAGTATCACCTCTCACGATACAGATATTTACTTAATTAAAATCTGAACAAAAACATAGGAGAAGTGGTCCTTTTTAAGAGTAGCGAGAGTGAAATCTTGAGTAGTTATTTTAATTGACCTACCACTCAACTTTCAAAGATGCTCTGATCAGTTTGAGAGATCATAAGTATACTTGGAATGGTGGTAATTATACCATGAATGTGACATCTTGAATTCGGTTTTATATGTACATTGAGTTTCATATTTCTTTAAGTTTGTCAAACCGAAATCAAGTGCACCATATTCTTTGAGCTCTGATATCCTTCTCCAATGAATGCAAATAATCCTTTATGGAAGAATGCGAGAATGTAAAATATAGTATGCAAGATGAGACACTTATTTCTCTTCCAATCATCTAACGGCATTGATCAAAATCAAGTCACTAATTTTAAGCATCTCATACTCTCTTTGAAAGTTATAGATACCTCATAGATCCCATTCAGTTCATCTTCATCAACGCCATTAAAAGACAAACACTTTGATCGGCAAGAAGTCTGATGGCTTCCAGCGAAACTTCTATCATAAACACTGCATCCACCTTGCACACAACAACCATTAAAATCCTTCTATCATCAAACTCTTTGCACAGTCATCTTTTCTCCCATATTACACATGTAGATTTCTATTGGATTCGAGTTTAACGCTTCAACCAGAGTGCAAAGGGTTAATATTCTTTAATATGCAGCTTCTATTTGGAGTCCAAAGAATTTCTTAACTAATAGAGAACGACGCTGGCGATACGGCGTCTCTGTTTGCACAGGTGATAGTCTCGTCTCCCGGTTCACCTAGCAGCGAGGAGTCGGAAGCCTCGCCGGAGCCAATTAACAAGAGCCTCCTGGGCGGCCTAGGACTCGAGAAAGGCAACGAAGGGGTCACGACGAACTCGACTAGCCCTGGAACAGAACAAATCACTCCGTCAAGCAGCGTCGACACCGAGGAAGGAAATACACCGCATCAGGAAGAGGGCGAAAAAGGCGTCGAGGGTGACGCCGAAGCCAGTGACGACGATCGACACCAACATGTACCCAAGACGCATTAGATGACTCTTTGAAAACACTGGGATCGAGTCGGGGGTGCGCGTCTTGAATAGTATGAACGTCTCGGTTTCGTTGATAGTTCGAACCATTCGAAGGATCAAATTGAGTGACTGTTAATGTAAATCGCCATGAAACAGTATTGGGCACTGAACATATATATTACCGATTCGTTGTTGAAATTCTACACAGACTCATAGTCTGCTAGTCTAACTAATTTGTTCTGAAAAATGAAGTACTTGTAATCGATGTTTCAGTTTTGCCCAACGCTGATGATACAAAGTATAAACATGAAATTCGAGAGTTGTTAAAATAGGGAATTCATATCTTGATCGTGAGGGTTTTGTTATTCGCAAGCATGTTTTCTTTAAAACCCAAGGGAAGAATGAAAGCGAAGGTCATTGTTTACCAATCAGAAGTGCATTAGTTTATTGGTAGGATGTTTTGAATAATTTTAAGCCTTAAGAATTTCTCTTTCGTTTGAATTCAAGATTCTTATGGTGCATGAAAGATAAAAGAAAGAAGAGATATTCCTTTTATCTGGTTTTCCAAAGATATTTAATGCGTTGACTGCAACGATTTGGAAGTTTAATACAGCTGTTCTTGAAACAGTAAACTATACCAAAGACTTAAGTCTGATCTATACTGTATTCAACATTATCGAGTCAAGTAATTTTTTTGAGAATATTAGTGTATCGTTGGCTGTGTTAGGAAATTTTCTTTGTTGTATGACGTTGTGTTTTGAAATATTTATACGTGTTTTTGTGGCAGTCAGTGCATCGAGGTACATATATGCCCTTCTAAAAGTAATACGTTCGAATCGTGAACGTGCAACTATACGAATCAAGGCTGAATTTTGTCGCCAGACGCACAATAAAAGCGATCATTGTTTTCCAAACGAAAAACGATACGCATAATGGGACCACTGCGAATATTCGTTACAAAATCTTCGCTAAGAAAGAAAATCTAACGCTGAAATTGACGATCTGACGACCGACTGGAAGCCTTTTACATGTTTTTTCATACGAATTCTTTTTATATCGTTCACCAGTGAGATCTCTGTCGAACAACATACCAAAGAAAACTGCTAACTAATGTTACGGTAATATTTATGGAAAGATTTCACTCTTTAGCTGCAAAGTTATCTTTTCACAGTTGTCGAAGCTGTAATCGATGAACAGGTTCCTAATTTAATACGGTTTGCACAAAATTTCATTATTATGCGTATGAATCTTCTTTCGACGAAGAAGATACGAGTTATAGAAAGGATAATTATTTCTTTCACAGCTGAAGAGTCAGTCATTGTAAGTCTCAGACTTTTCTTCGAGCACAAATATCGTAGAAGAAAACGTAGAATCACGCGAATGTTCTTTTCTATCCTGGAGATCCACCAAAGCTTTTCTCTCAAGACCAATCCTGAGTCGCGAGACCAGAAATCGAAGAACGAACACTTTGGAACGTACAGGGAGCATCTGAAATCGTCCCCTATGTCTTGAACTGCACAAATCTACGAAACGACTGAAAACAAGGTACCCAAGCTATTGAAATTCTGTAAACAAGGGGACGAGACAAGTGTTTGGTAAGATCCTACGATTCACCGCGCACACCCTCAGCTCAAAGAAGCTCCTATGGCTTCTGCAGTTGATCTTTCAATGAAATTCAAGGTATTTCCCGGCTGGTCGAGGTTCGAAGATCGCAAACGAAGAGTTCCGGTACGTTTCTTCACCGACGAAGCAAGCTGCAGAAGAACGCGACAAAGACTGATCATACTGGCGCGAAGGAAAACGGAAGCAAAGCGTAAACGGTGCACGCGGAGGACAAGAAACGAGAAAACATAAAAGAAGAAAACGTGACACGAACACAACAAACAAGCTACACAAACACAACGGTCGATTTATATACAATATACTATATAAATATATATATATACATATTATATATACACACATAGGCTAGTTACGATATACATGTGCTTTTGATAAAAAATTATTACTTGTAGAGGTTAGCTAGCCCTCGTATACAGAACACGAAGGAACTGCTGAAGAGTACACGACGCTGCGTCCACGTATACGAATTTGGATAGAGAAGAAAAAAATAAGCATGGTATAAGTGCACGCAGATGCTATATAAAATATACACAAGTAAAATCTCAGCGCGACAGGAGCCGAGAAACCGACTCACTTCTTGTACATGTTGACAATAGCAAATCGACGAACTGAGAGTGAAGAGATGGAAGGAAGAGGTGGATCAAAAAACGAAACTAAGAGGAGAGGAGTCGAACTCACCGAGAAACGATAATAATTACAAGTAAAAAGAAAAAAAAGTAATTGTAACTTGTAAACGACTAAACATAGCCAGTATTATATTGTGTACGTAAAGAAGAAAACGTTTAAAGAGGACGAGCCGGGAGGGACCACCCTGAACAGGGTGCAGCCCGGAGTTCGTTTGTTCTACGATCTCGTCGACGGGGACACGAGCGATGACTCGACTATTATTGCTATTATTATTGTTAGTTGGTAATATTATATATAAATAAACGTTTACATATGTGTCCGGTGAAGCATGGGACATTGTCATTCGAGCTGACTTTTCTATTGACTGATTTAGGATTTTATTCAATAGAATCACAGGAGCTAATTTGTTATATTTCTTTGTTGTAGTTTATACTGTTGTAACTGATAAGGATCGGTGTTTGTAATATAGTGAAATTAACAATCAGAAGGTTACTTTGCTTGACAATATCCGATGTTTCGCAGAGTTTGAATTAATAACTTTGTCTTTCTCGGATGTTAACACTAATCGGAGTAGCTTGGAAATGGTTAAATAAGTTTTTGCAGATATCTAACGACTAATTATACAAAGAGATTTTTGCAAAGAAATTCATTTCTATCGTATAGCGTTGGCGAAGACCGCTTTTCGTACTCTTAAGATTGTAAGAACATTTCAGATTGAACAAAGTTGTTATTCAATTTCGTATAAATAATGTATAAATGCATCATATACAAATAATACTGTTAGGATCACTACGTATTTGTTAATCCTTTGGAGAAGCATTACCTCTAAATTGATAAATATTACTTTAACGATAATTAACCTGTTTATAACAAGCAGAACTTTCACTTCTCGCATGAAAAAAATGATAAACTAATGTTTGTAACTGTATCGAAAACAATGTTAATGAAAGTATGCCGTTGAAAATATTTAGAGCTTCAAGGGGTTGACTGTTATTACCATTGCTTTCTTTCGCTCGTGTCCTTGTATGTGAATGCAGTCTGCGTAAATAGCATACGATATATGCAATGTTTGTACATCAGCACTGTTCAGGAGTACAGAGTCTCCGAAGTTCAATTGGCGTATAGATTCAAATTTTCCCAATTTCTTTCTGAATGTTAACTTACAAGTTTCAAGAAAATTGGAAGTAGTATGATTTGGACATTGCTGCTACAACGTGCAAGTATATCTGTGCGCATAATGTATTCATGATACTATCTGTGTGCGTAAGGATACACACCAATGTGGTCTTTTTTTTCACACGTTATTTTTATCGATAGCATCTCGGTAGAGGATACCACAAGGGTGGTGTTTCTTTCGAGTAGCCAAGAATCAAGGATTATTGTATAATTCATTGTATCATACTTCGCGTAGCCACATCCTAATCGTATGGAACCCCCGACTGTTTGACTGTCGTTCGATGTGCAAGCGCGATGGAACGCCGGATACCATATTCCCTTTCACGTTTTACCGAAACGTCTAAAGCAAGGTAGTTCCTTTTGTATACTTCGAGTAATTAGTTAGATTGCTCGGAGCATTACAAAAATGAAAAATGAGAATTTAAATATTGGAACTACCACTTGAACTGCAATTAACATTGTTTTATTAAACATATATTCTATGAAACTATTACCTTCTATATTTATACTGTTACTTTATACATTTTGTATTCAATGAGTGATAAACAGTGCAAAATGATCTTAACAAATTTTAATAACCAAGAGACTTTTATAAAACATGGTAACAAGTATTCATAAAAACACTATAATATTATGGAAACTCGTATATTACCGTAGAACAGTAGAGGATACTGTAACATACAATACTGTAGTGAAAACACAAGCTCCATAAGAGAAATTGTACAATCAGGCCCATACAAAAATTTGCTCTTCTTAAAGGAGTCATCCTACGTCGACTGATCAGAATATTCTCGTATTTGTACATAAGTGTAGTTCGAAGACTTTGAAAAACGTTCCGGCGTCCGGCGTTCCTCGACGTTCCTAATTTTAGTAATAACGATGAAATGCGACCCAAAAAAATGCGTACCATTAATTATATTATACGTGAAAGCACACTGCCGCAATTTTGTATGATTAACTGTTGTTATATATACACCTATACCTACATATTATGCTACGTATATATAATTATTGATAGAGACTTCATTGGAACGAGCGATACGCATCCTTCAAAGGGTTTCCAGTTACAAACTCTGATGCTTTCGCATCTTACAATCTCTTTAATTCAATGAAACGCTGAGTAAACGCTCTTTGATTCAATTAAATGAGATGAACACTGAGAATGTATTTCAGAAATAATTTATAAAGATGCGCAATTGTGCAGATAGTTAAGCACTTTGTTCTAATAAGATACAAATTTTGAAACAACGGAAGATATTTTCTTATTCACAGATAACAGATTAACTAACTGAAGCAACGATGTGACAATCAGTTATGTAATATTCACTAAACATAGAAACTTAGTTGATCTGTGAAAAGACTCGATGATTTATTTTGAATCAACGCTGAGATTCTCGAGAAGAATGATTTTGACTAGAAGTGTTTGAAAGGGAAAGTCCTTTGAAGGATATTGTATCACTCTGAAACAACCCCTTGATTGAAGAAAGCTGAGCGAAGGAACTAAGTCTGACATATTAGGGTTCTCGACTTTTCCGATTTCTTTTTGCAGATTTCTTTGCTCGTTTACGACGAATCTGAGCGCACATTTCATTCACCTCCTGCATCGTACCTCTAAGTGAAGCCACTTGTCGTATAAAATTGTTATAGGTGCGATTGGAGGAAATAAAGAGGTCCAGAGAGAAATGCAACCCTTTGCAATGATTTCAACCTGTTTTTATTATACTTGAAATCTTATATCTGTTGTGTTCTCTTCATTTTAGAATGCCTTCTTTTTTCAGAAGAATCAACATGTACTTTCAAAGCAGTAATTCTAATTGAAGAAAGTTGCAAAGGGTTGAGGTCTCGTGGAACAACGGTGTTTGGTTAGTTTCTCGCTTCACAACGAAACTTCAGGGAGAGAATGGCCAAGAACTGCGTGCTTTAATCAGGATTCTTAACGAACGAAACGTAAAAGAAGAAAATGAAGAAGACAGGAAGAGAAGAGACCAGAGGAGGAGACAAATGAAGTAGAATTAGATACGAGGGTGGACAAATTAAAGCAAGGGGCTTAATATCGATATAAGAATCTAATTTTTTATTGTGCTCGCATTACCTGATTCTCTTGTGCAATCGCGTTTGATCGAACACAC